ACACACACACACACACACACACACACACACACACACACACACACACAAAACACCTTGTAGCATAGTGCTTTGCATGTAGGAAATCCTCAAATACTGAATTTTGACAAAACAAGTGTATTATTACAATGGTTTTTTACTACAGCTGCTAAAACTGAAAAATATATTTATGGAGGAACCATATCAAAATATAATCAAATGTTATGAAGTAAATCATAGAATGTTAGAGTTGGAAGAAGCTTTAGGAATCAATTAGTCCACATCTCTACTTAATAGTTGGGGAAAATGAGAGAAAGAGCAGTTTGGCCAATTTCTCAAAACAAATTAATGGTCAAGCCAGTACTAGACACCAAGCCTGCTGATTTTCAGTTTACTGATGCTGCCTCACTGCAGGATGAACCCCTCTGCCCTCTGTCCAAAATTTGGCAGATCAATATGTCATAATTCATCTATGAAAACATCTTAATCTATGTATAAAATACATCAGCCTTACCTGTCTGGGTGTTTTCAGGCATAGATTCATATTCTGAATGGTCCAGGACCAAAGCATTCATATCTGTTTGGTCTGACAATGAAACTGGCTCTTGCAGGTCTGCTAACACTGCATTAGGATATGATGCGTCGCCATTACTGCTGGCATCCAATCCTGCAATTGGAAATTGTACCCCAAAGGGAAAAAGAAAAAAAAATTCTCTCAAAAAAAAAGTTTCCTCAGGCTTTTTATTTTTGTTAAACTAAAATAGGTTCTTAGTGTATAAATTACTAAAAATTGATAATAGTATAGTCTTCATGTTTGATAAACTAATAGTCTCTGTAGAAAATAATAAAGTATTACCTTAGCTAGAAGAGTTTTCAAATTTAAAACATACCTTCTTTGCAGGCATCTGGAGGGTGGTCCACTATTTCTTCCCAGGCTTTGCTCACATTTCCATCAGTTGTACCACTTGCTTCCAAGTGTAACATATGATTCCCCCATACTTTTGCATTAGGGTTTAACTCTGAAACCTTGGCTGGTTCCTAAAAGGGGATTTTATGAAATATTTTTAATAGAGTAAAACAGTAGCACCTGTAGTACAAAATTAATGGGGGGGGGAGGGGAGGAGGGAGCATTACATTAAAGGACCAAACACCTAATTCGTTTTATACAACTTCAGCAGAAGTTTATTTCCGTGAACATGTCTACTAAGCCTTTCTTAGGAGTTCCTTTACTAAATCTCTGACAGTTCTTTTAGCCACAGCAAACATATGAAATAACTCAGTGTTCACTCATCTTATTAACAAGCAGATATGTTATAAAACAACCAATGACTGAGCTTTGAAGACAAAAAAAACTCAGGCCTAGAACTCTCACATCTCCTCATTTTCTCACAAGGTGCTGTCTTCTAGTTCCTAGGCCAGATATACATTTTAACAGACCTTCTGGTATGAAATATTATTTTGGTATCGTGTTAACTTATAAAAGCTAAAATTTTAAAATATTGACTTGTATAAATGAAATATAGATATCGAAAAATTGTACAGTCAAAAGTATCATGAAAATGGCTTTTCCTTTAGAAAGATTAGGTAGCAAAACAAAAACTTAATACATTCAGAAAGTAAAACGGTTTATCCAACATTTAAGAGTCATTAACATCTACAAGTCACAGTTAACTTCCATAAAATGTTTTATGAAAATTTGAGTCAAACTTTTGAATTTGAAGTCAATTGTGTATTTTTAAAAAGGAGATTCACTTAAACAGTAAAACTTTTTTGCACTGTTCTGGATCTTAGTCACATGATTTTACAATTTTTCTGTCTGGGGAAAAGAAGTCTCCCAATTATATTATCTTACAACACTTTCAAAACTCTGTACTTACCACAATGTAGAACTGTTATAATACTACTTCTAATCTGTATGTTGCTTTATATTTTTCGCAGTGTTTTTATCTATCACTTCACTATCAACTTTATGATTGGACTAGGGAATGTACTGTATCTGTCTGACATGTTAGAAAACCAAGGCAGAGGACAATGTGAGTTTCCCAAGGTTGCTCAATAAAGTAGTCTAAGAATTAGAACTATAAACTCAGACCTTCCCATAACTAACTAGTGTTGTTCAAACCTGCCATTCTGCATCCAAAACAAACAAGGAATGAAATATTCCAGTTACATCCTGACCACTAATTTATTGTCGTTGTTATTTACAACAATTAGTAGCTGCTGCTACTAATACTATTATTACCTGGTATTTATATAGTATTTTAAAGTTTGAAAGAGTTTTCCAAATATTATTATTATAGATAACAAATTTTCAAAGAATTTTTAAAAATCCATTCAGTACTAAAAATTATGCTACATGTGATTTGCTCATGGATTAAAAGATTTTTTTAGGATCCTTTGAGGCCTTTCTGTAACCATATTCAATCTAAAGAAAGGTTTGATAACTATAGTATATCAGTTTGATAACTGATAATGATAATAACTATAGTAAAGGGTAGTGATGAGTGTAAATTATATTTCAAGATATCTGCAACAACTGTAATACAGTATGAAATTCACTATGATCTCCCTTAATGACAAAGTTACAGGTACTGTTAATACACTATTATATGGTTCCCCCCCCTTCTTAATAGAAGGAAATGCTAAATTTCAGATTAGGGGTTCATTAAAGATATAATTTTTTTTTTCCCATCCAAGTTCACAGATGTTCTGGACTTGATCCTAGGCCCAGGTAAGAACCTCCATCCTAGAAGAATGTTTTTAAAGTGTATCCCTAGGGCTTTTTTATTAACCCACGGGTTCAACAATACAGGAATAGGTGCTATGCTTATCAAACTACAAATGATTTGGGAAAACAAAAGATAAAAAACCTCAAGTAAATAATATAAAAGGGTAGACATAGTAATCATAGAATCCCAGAACTTGACAGTTGGAAGGTATGGCAGAGTGGTCATCTAGTCCAATCCACAGATGAAAGAAATCACCACATAACATGGCAGAGAAAAGGCTGTCCAATATTTGCTTGAAGATCTCCAGGGAAGGGATAATACCCTACCCCTTATTCTAATTTTGAACAACTCTAATTTTAGAAAATTTTTTTCCTGATAATGAGCCTAAATTCACTTCTGTGCCACTTCCCGTTACTTTTGGTTCTGCCTTCTGCAGCCAAACAAAACAAGTTTCATATCTCTTCCAGATGACAACACTCCAAATACTTGAAGACAGCTACTATGTCTCCTAGAGGCCGCTAGATGGTGCAGCGGATAAAGCGCTAGGCCTGAGTCAGTAAGATCTGAGTTCAGATCTGACCTCAGATACTAACTAGCTGTGTGACCCTAGGCAAGTCATTTAACCTTGTTTGCCTCAGTTTCCTCATGTGTAAAAGGAGTTGGAGAAGGAACTACAGTATCTTTGCAAATAAAACTCCCAATGGGATCTTGATAAGTCAGATACGACTGAAATGATGGTACCAAAAAACCAAAGAACACAATCAAACCATGTCTCTTTTCTTTTCCAACCTAACCATGCCCAGTTTCTTCAAATCATTCCTTTTAGACATGGATTCAAGGCTGTTCATCATCCTGGTTGCTCTCCATGGTCATTTCTTAAACCATGGTGTCTAAAATAACGTACAACACTCCTGATGAAGTTTGATAAGGACATGAAAGTGGCATGACCTTTTTATTATCTGAGGCCCTGCTCTTCTTGGAGCAGCCTAAGATCATATTAGCTTTTTGGGCAGTCACTTCACAATGCTGATTCATATTGAGTTTGAAGTTAACCAAAATATTTTTTTCAGAACTGTCGTGTATGAATATCTCTTTAATCATATTTGTAAAGTTGATTTTTTTATACTAAAATGCAAGAGTTTATATTTACCATCACTGAATTTTATCTTATTAGATTCAGTCCAATGCATTAACCTATCAAAATTCTTCTGGATCCATACTATTTCTCTTAGCTTTCTATCATCTATAAGCCTGATATAACATGTTTGATTTTATCCAAATCACTAATAAAAATGTAAAACAACACAGGGCCAAGCAGAGAGGGCAGTAATAGATTGATATGAAATCACTAATAACTAGTCTGGTCATGCCATCAGTTCTACATCCATTGGATTGTATTATTGTCTAATTCATAAATTTCTTCTTCACAAGAATAGTATAAGAGACTTTATCAAAAGCTTTGCTAAAATCTAAGTAAATTCTATCTACAACATTTGCCTTTTATCTACTATCTTAGATGTTTACCAACTTTTAGTGATTCATTCTAGAATTTATCCAAGGATTGAAGTCAAGCTCTTCAAAGCACTATAATGTGCAGATTCTACTTCTCCCATTTTAAAAAAAATTGAGAAAGCTTTTGCCCTTCTCTAATTTTATGGTACTTTTCATTTTCTCTATGATCTTTCAAGCATCACTGACAGTGGTTCAGCAACTGCATTTGCCAGTTCTTTCAGGACCCAAGGATATAATTCATTTGGGCCAGGTAATCTGATTTCATCACAAGTCAACTAAGAGCTCTCTTATCACTACTATTACCTTTTTATCTTACTTATCTTGGGGGTACTTATTATGTTAGTAATGTTTGTTTTGTCATTTCTAATTTTATATAGGTCATTCCTCTCTTCCCTTGCCACTCAGCCATGGCTCATTCTGAACTTTAGTATTCCTCTCACTATTATTAGAAGACCATGCCACTCTTATCTGTTGTTGCCTGGCCTTGCTTCCACCTTCTATACATTTCTTTTTAAAATCCAGATTGATGAGCAAGGTCCCTGTCCACATACATTCATCTCTTCTGAAAATATCAATTTTCTCTTCATTGGACTATTTCCTTTTGTGTCAACAGGATTTTCTTTCTGAGCATCTCTTGAAGGTTAATGTCCTCTGAATTATTTTATCCTACAGGATCCTACTTATCTTTCCTCTGATCTTTTTGATATGTCCATTCCCAAAGTCTAGGGTGCATGTCAGTCTATGCCTAGATTTCTTCTCCTTCGTCACTAACTCCAGGATGCAATACTCACTTTTCTTCAGGGTTTCCATTATAGCACCCTGGCAACCAACTCCTTCCTGTCAGCGAGAATGAGATCCAGACAAGAATTTCCCTTTAATCATTTCTCCATCTTTTGAAAGATGAGAGAATTATTACTAAAGCAAATCATTAAGTTATTGGCTACTCTGCTTTTGGCACAGAGAAGGGGAGCCACAAGGGGTAAAAAATGGGAAGGGGAAAATGAGGGAGAAAGCACTACCCACATGTCTAGGTGAAAGAGTTCCCCATCACTTCTATTTCATGGCTCTGCACCAGACTTGTGATCTGTTCCCCAAACTTCTCGTCTATTTCCTTCTTTTGTTTGTCCAAGTGGTTTGTAGTACACTTGAATGACAAAACTATTTTTATGTCTCCCTCCTCTAACCTTTATTTAAGTATTCTCCATCATGCCTCACCCTTTCTGATTTCTGGATTTCCTCATAAGAATACTTTCTTAAAAAAGAGTGCTACACTCTACCCTATCCCTTTACCTACTACCTACTCATCATAAGTTCCAACAACCAAGTCTCAGTGATACCTTGAGGTCAAATTTTTCCCTTTGCGTTTGAAACTCTAGATCCTCTTGTTTGTGGGGGAACTTTTGGTTATTTGTGAAAAGAAACCATAAGTTTTACTATTGTCTCCTTTCTTGGACTTGTCTCCTGTCAATCCGTCACTGTCCAGCCACTATATTCCTTTTTCCTTCTTTGGGTCTAACCTGGAGAACATACATAGGCTGTCTTCTTGCTACCCCATCCTTTAAGTTCTTTGAGTACCCTTGATTAGATTTGCAAGGCATCTGGGAAATATTCTTACTAACCTTTGCTAGCTGTGTGTACTTCATCTATGGCCAGGAATTGGTTAACCCTTTACCTTAGGCCCTGATCCATAAGTTCAAATCCCCATTTTCTTAACCTGCTATTTCTTCCCACATTTATTTTTCTCTTATGCAACTCTTGTCTTCAGTATGCAGAAGTGAGGAAAAAGAGAACCTGTGA